TATACACACACACACACACACACACACACACAGACAGAGTTAATCATTAAATATGTAAAAAAGATGAAACAAAGAATGTAGTCAATAAAATAAAATGCTCAATAGTTATAATTCAACATTACTATTTTGTGGTCCAAGCTTGCTAAATCCAGTGGTTTGGTGTGGAAACAGCAGATTTGAGCCGAAGCCTGCGCACAGGTCTCAGGTCAGACGCTGTCAGGTGTGTTGTGACGGGACGCTTGAGTGAAGTGAACGGCGCTTGAGACGCTAAATAACTTCTAGTTGGTTCAATAGAGGAGAATTAAGGAAAGCGCCCAAGTCGCTAATGGGAATGAATGGGAGGCATCAGCCGGGGTCAAACACGCACCGCAGGATCAATGCACGGGTGCAGGTGTACCGCGCCACAACCGGAGAACACGCTAACGAGAGAGAGAGACAGAGAGAGAGAGAGAATCTGAATCAGAAATCAAATGTCTCCTCTATGCAGATGATTTAGTCATTCTGTCAAAAACAAAAGAGGGACTACAACAGCTCCTCGACATCATAGAGACATTCAGTCAAACATGGGCTCTTAAAATCAACCTCGCAAAAACAAAAATAATGATTTTTCAAAAGAGACCCAGGTGTAAGGAAAATAAACACACTTTCAGAGCGGGAAACCAGGTCCTCCAACACACCCATGAATACAGCTATCTGGGACAAAAAAAAGCATTATAACACCTCCTACTCTAATTACCATATAATGGGGTTTGTTTATTAGACATATATTACTGCCACGGCTATTCAAACAGTAAAGCGTGTCATGGTTTCAAATGTAAACGTCAAAACAATTATTACAATAAATAAAACCTCTAATTAATACGATTGAAAATATTAGAACAAATACATGGAACAAGTGTCTTGCATGTACAGCTATTGTTTGGTGATATGCTGTTAAATATGCTAATAAATCTATAGTATTTAAGAACTTACAGAACTACAGTGTGCAATAAAACCCTTGTAAATTTGCGTCACAGACATTTTTGTGCAAGCGAACATAAATAATCCACAGATATTCAACAAGAAGAGGCTGTTAGGGTTAAAATACCTACAATTACGTAAAACAAATTCAATAAAATAAATGAAAAATATATAAAAATAACATATAATAAAATATGAATATAATATAATAAAATGTATATTTGCAAATGTGACACGCAGAGCTTCCCTGCCCTCTAGTGTTCAATCACGTGACACTACAATCTCTCACAATTAATCAGAAGATGCATTTAAGTATTTGTAATAATCAACTATTATTTCATTATAATAAATAATATGATTATGCAATATATTTTAATATTAAGTATTTCATATTTATATTTTACATGCACTTTAAGCAAGATGTGTTAACAATGGTTAACAATGCAGTCAAAACTCAGAAGTATTTTGATAACAATATTTAATAACATGATGGTTGTAGATTAAGATGACATTAATCTCAATACTCAAAAATGTGAATATGAACGGCTCAGAATTAAATTAAAACTACATTATTCATCAGTTTTTCATATTCTTTTTTGTCTAACTTCTCTTTTTCTCTGAAAAATCAATTATAGATTTTTAAGTGTTTTTGAAAGAAGTCTATTATGCTTAACCAGGCTGCATTTATTTGACCAAAAATACAGTAAAACAGTAATATTGTGAAATATTACCACCAGTGTTGTTATTGTTAAATAAATATAGAACTATTCAAAATATTAGATGGAGAAAAAAAAACATAAATAAAAAGAAATGTTGCCTTGGCAACTAATTGAAAAAGTATTAAAATTACTAATAAATAAAAAATGTATATATTAAAAAAAAAGTATAAAAGTATATAAATACTAAAACAACACTGATTGTTACCATTTAAAAGAACTGTTTTCTATGTGAATATATGTTCAAATCTAATCTATTTCTGTGATCAAAGCTGAATTTTCAGCATCATTACTCCAGTCTTCAGAGTCACGTGATCTTCAGAAATCATTCTAAGATGCTGATTGGCTGCTCAATTATTAAATAAAAAGAAATGTTGCCTTGGCAACTAATTGAAAAAGTATTAAAATTACTAATAAATAAAAAATGTATATATTAAAAAAAAAGTATAAAAGTATATAAATACTAAAACAACACTGATTGTTACCATTTAAAAGAACTGTTTTCTATGTGAATATATGTTCAAATCTAATCTATTTCTGTGATCAAAGCTGAATTTTCAGCATCATTACTCCAGTCTTCAGAGTCACGTGATCTTCAGAAATCATTCTAAGATGCTGATTGGCTGCTCAATTATCAATTATTATTGGTGCTCAATTATTAATAATGGTTCTTATTATTAGCAATGTTGCAAACAGTTCTATTTCTTATGAACAGAAAGCTAAAAACACTTGAAATGCTGAAATAGCATTCACTTGTCTTTTGTAACATAAATGTCTTTAATGTCCCTTTTTGTCAATTTAATGCATCCTAACTGAATAAAAGTATTTATTTTGAACGGTAGTGTACACTACGTATAAAACCCTTCAGAATCAGAAACAGTGACAACTGCAAACCCTCCAAAGAAAACAGCACTTCATTTCAAATACACTGAAATATGTGCTTCTGTTTGTTGGCTGAAGGCTGTATTTGCATAGATGTGAGGAACATTTATCATAGTGGTGTTGGATTATTAATTGTCTTTAAATTAAATCAGTATCGCGCCAAGTGTCTTTAATAAGAGCTTGATAATAATTTAGATTGCCTTTCAAATCAGAGTAATCAGTCTAAAGCATTTATGAAGAATTATAAAGTATTTAGATTCACATTTATTTTTAAGACATCAACATCTAATCATTTAAATGCTAATGTTGACTGATGTTTCAGTGAGAACACATAAATAATCCTGTAGTGCCACCTACTGGACACACACTGCAATGCAGCGCCTGCAACTGATTATGCTCAAACTGTCTTTGATTATAAAAGAAAACAAAACATTAAAAAAATAAATAAAAAAAAAAGGGGTGATTATCATGTAGAGTAGCTTACTAAGCGCTATGACGCTGCCTTTACTGTAGGTCAGTAATAATAATGGCAGATGCAGCAGGCGTGTGGTGAGCTCTGGTTGAGTTCTGGGACTCACCGATGCCAGAGTTTGCTCCGGTAATCACCACCACCTTATCAGACAGGTCACAGTCCTGCAGGACCTCCAGAGCCGTGGTGTTCCCATCGAAGCGCTTGGGTTTCACCTGCATGTCCTCTACGGTGAAGGCCTGCCGAGGGTCAAAATATGTTGTGCGTTTGTTGATGTGGCTGATGAGAAGAAGAGAATAGAGAAACATTACAAACCAGAAGAGCTGAACAGCAGAGAAGCCATAACACACATTAAAACACTTTTTTTTTATATTAAAATATAATATACAGTGGGTACGGAAAGTATTCAGACCCCCTTAAATTTTTCACTCTTTGTTATATTGCAGCCATTTGCTAAAATCATTTAAGTTAATTTTTTTTTCCTGAGGAATGGCAGAGGATCCCCAAGTCCAGGTGTGAAAAACTTGTTGCATCAAAAAGACTCATGGCTGTATTAGATCAAAAGGGTGCTTCTACTAAATACTGAGCATTTTTCAGTTTTTCTTTTTTAATAAATTTGCAAAAATGTCAACAATTCTGTTTCTTTCTGTCAATATGGGGTGCTGTGTGTACATTAATGAGGAAAAAAAAATAACAAATGATTTTAGCAAATGGCTGCAATATAACAAAGAGTGAAAAATTTAAGGGGGTCTGAATACTTTCCGTACCCACTGTATGTGTGTGTGCGTGTGTGTATGTGTATGTATAATACAATATTATAATAAAACAGACACAGCATTCCTAAATGAGACCTGAACGTCTCTAATTGCCCAGGTGTGACGGATTTGAATAAAGTTTTCTATTTTAACTTCCATTTAAGTTTTATTATTATTTTTATTATTATTATTAGTAGTAGTTAGGGGCTGTAGTCCCTATTGTTTCCGTTGGTTTTCTTATTATTATTATTCCTCCCCAATGGGAGTCTATGGCAGCCCTATGAACTGTAAGTAGGAAAATTATGAAATTTGGCACACTTGTAGTGATTGCCATAAATAGTGACCTGTCCAAATTTGGGGTCCCTAGGACCAACTCTATAGCACCGCCACCAGATCAAAAATTCACTTTTCAAATGGTTATAACTTTTGAACCCTTTGATCTAGAAATATGAAACTTAGTACACGTGATTCTCCTCATGCTGATCACATTCAATAGCCTACTTTAAGACTCCACGAAAATTGGCTCAGATGATCTTCGGAGCGGCACAGAAATGATTGAACAGATTTTTTATATTCATTTTCGTTCAAAAGTTATGACGTCACAAACTTCTGGAAGTTGACCCAAAATTGGTTCAGAGGCTGTATCTCGGCCAAACTTTGATCAATTGAAATGAAACTCGGTGTGCTACATCAGCACCATGATCTGAGGGTCCATGCCAAAGTTGGGAACAGCGCCACCTACGGATCATGAGATATCAAAAACAGACATTTGTGCTTATAACTTTGGAACAGTTAGTCAGAAAATCGTGATCTTGGTGTCTATGGATTCCTTGGGTCATGCCGAATCTGTGCAATATTTGGAAGGTATCACTGACAGCATGTCCCAGAGGACAAACTGTGCGTAATGTGTCATTTTGATTCCTTGATTTCTTTTAGCTACTTACTGAACTCATGGAACACTTGAAATGTGTCCCCGTGTGGCTGCTTGCAGCTATATTTAGTATTATTATTATTATTATTAAATAGGTGTGGTCCAGACTACTGAATTATCATATTAATTATTAATGATTTAATATATTCATGTATTATTAATGATCTCAATTTGCTCATTATTTATGATCCTATCCTTTTTCCTGACAAAATACTACATACTGTATCATATATTCTATTACGACAATATAATATAATATAAAAACTAAGTTTTACAACAATTTATTTTATTTGTTGGTTAATTAATTTATCACAGCATTTATCATCATGATATCTTTGCATGTATCTGCTTGTGTACAAGAATAATTTTCCAGGAAGAAAATATTGCAAATATTTAATGTGCATATCTGCTCATTTTTTGTTTTGTGAAAATGTATTAAATTTATAATTTATTTTGACATTTAAATTAATTATTAATTAGCCTAAAAGCTAGGAGACATATACAAAAAGCTCACATAACGACTTAAGGGAAACTATAATATATTATATTATTCATTGCAGCAAAATATACTTCCTTCAAACACAGTCCATAAAGTGAAATTATGAGGAGAAAATAATATTCACTGAACTCACTCAACATAGAAGACTTGGCCTTTATCATCGGTCTCCTGCTCCCATCCATATGGCAAAGCTAAAAAATTATTAAAATAAAATAAAATACATTCTGCAAATTACTTAATCGTTTAGTTATTCTTCATCACTGCTTATCAAAACAGGTCAATCTCCTGACAAAGCTCTGCACACTTCATGCATGTTTCTTAATCATATTGAGATCAATATTTAAGTGTGATTGATGGCTGAATATGCATCTTACCTCCAGCACAGCGTTTCTTCTTCCCAGTTTTGGGATGCTCCCATTGAGTCTTCATTTCCTCGTGGCTGAAATGAATGATGATACTTGAGTGCTAATGTCATGTGTCAATCATTCTATAAATCACATCAGAAACGCGCTTGGGTTGCTATACACTCCCATTTCTTGCATTAATAGCAGAAATGAAAAGTGTAACTGCACATGTTTATCTCAAACGTGTGTGTTTTGTGTGTCAAACCCTCACTTGGCATAATAAACCCATCCGTCTTTAGTGGACCTCTCTTCCCAGCCGGGAGGAAGCTCGTCTTCACTGTCTGTATCATCCATTCCGGCGTATTTAAGAGCTGCCATCGCGGACTGACTGTTTTCAAGCAAAACTCATTCAAGTTCTCAGTGAAATTGATCTTACAGCAAATTCACGTTGCAATAATCCTGCCGGACCACTTCCGCAATCAAGACGTGACGTAGCGTCGGTGCGCGAGAACTGCGAGTGGCGCCTGAATGACACGGGGTTCTGAAATGGGCGGGGCTTAGCGGCCTGGTCAGGTGCGACGGGTCCAAATTAATACTTTTCTATTTTGTCTTGTGATGTAAGTTTTTTAGTGTTATATGTCAGCAGCTCATATTTCTCATATTTTTATTATTCATCTCTGCAAAAGAAAATTAAGAAAATATATTTATGCTTTTTCTATATTTTTTTCCATACCATATACACCAATGGGGCAAAAAAAATTAAAAACTTAAATGCCTAAAGATTCACCTCTCCTAAAATCTCAAGTCTACTCAACATGTGTGGCCTTTTAGACATATATATTAGTCTTTTTTGATAGATTTTGGTCTTTGTGTGTCAACGGTCTTCAGTGAAAGCACCTATTACAGATAGGATGTTGTCACGTGGTACCTGTTACTTTTTTCAGCGCTGATCAGAATGGACCAATCAGGATTCAGAGCCTTTTTCAACGGCTCTGCCAGGATTGTGCGATTACAAAAATACTTAACTTGCAAGTGTTAGTAAGACAAAGACCGTTCTGATATTTGAAAAGTGTCAATAAAGGATTTTTGATTCAAACAAGCCTTCGAGTTGCACCTTACGGTTAGTTGAAGGTAAGTAGGAGAAACACTGTGTGTGCGTGTGTGTAAATACTCCGAAACAAGACATCACATTTAGCTCATATTTGAGTTATTTTTGCCCCATGATGGCCAAACTTTGTTTCAATAAATTTTGACATGAAAATCGAAAAATAAAAATGCATAGACCATCGTATGCTACTTTATTGCTTAATTTCATTAGAGAAACTTGTATTTCTCTTTTGTAACAGCTTGTCAATTTCCATAGTTTTGGTGGCAGTAAACGGGTAATTATTACTTATATCATACAGTTCAACTAATTGGACTTACTGTTCTCACATTTACATGCAACCAGGACAAAAAATAATAACATTGTTAGTGATACTTTATTGTAAGCAAAAACCTCAATTTCAATCATTCAGTGTGTGGATAATCTGGAGTCAATATATTAATAACAATAACCAGCTAACAGTGATTAACTTTGCAGTTTCTGAGCTTTAATCCAAACTTGTATTAGCCAAATGGACTTGCGTGAACATAAAATCAACATAAAATCAATTTAGCTAAGGCCTCAGTTCAAACAATCAAAAAAGTGGCAACTCTGCCCGTAATCATCACCAGTAATGACAATTCAAATTAGATTACTAATCTTAACACAAGACCCATTCATTCTTCTCTGCAACACTAAAGTGTAGGGATGAGCCGATACGAGTATCGGTACCGAACGGTTCACAGGGCTATTTCCAAATGGAAGTGATCATCCCGATCCTCTTGGAGTGGGGACTTTGGAGTGAGCAGGGCACGTGTGTGCCTTTATGTAGTAGTTTGGAATGCACTTGGCAAAGCGAGCGACGTAATTTCCTCATTATCTTCAGCTGGCATGATCCCGTGACAACACAGCACGGTGTCCGTCAGCAGATTCGCTGTTTTACTGTCATACATGTCTTTTTATTGTTGTTAGCATAACTGTTGAAAATAAACATACATTTTATATTTTAAAAAGTTTGTAAAATATGCTATATAATATATAAAAACTAATATATATATATAACACTTTTTTAAATATAAAATGTATATC